TCTCTCTCTCTCTCTCTCAAACCTTAATTCTTTTTTTTTTTTTTTTTTTGACAATCTTCCCAGCCCCCTTCCCAAACCTGTCACACACCAGGCCATTGTATTAATTTTGGCAAGCATTATTCATTTTAAGATAAATGGTCTTCAAGGTGATGAAATATTTTGAAACTTTCATGCAGAGCCTCATTAACTTTTATGAAGTTCTTAATACAGTGGCAATTAAATATTTTCAGCCTAAAGGCCCTTTGGTTGAACAGAATTATTTAATTATGGTCCTGCTGAAATGCTTTGGTAGTTTTCTATCACAAAGCATTTCTGAACTCTAAACATAACAAAGTAAAGTAAAATATGTCACCATAGGGGAATTGTCAAGCCACAGTAGAAACCAAACTAGTCACTTCTTCCTTCAGACAATTTAAGGTCTATTAGGATCATTACTGAGTATAAAGTTTCCAAAATCATGGCTTTTTCAAATAGAATTGCTGCATAAAAATGCGTGGCCAGGTTTCCAATTTCTAGATGCATTCAAGCGCAGACAGCAACCTGACAGTGTTGAAATCAAAAGGCTGAAAAGGTGTATTGAACTTGCAAAAATAAATCAGAGACAACACGAAAAAAAATATTGAGCAAAAGGAATAGCATTTCACCTCAAGTAAGCTGTGTTGAAGAGATGCAATGCATAGACAATGCAGTTGCAACACCTTTCCAGTGAATTCTCAGTAAAATAGAAACATTTTTGACAGGGGTGGATCCAGAGATATTTTGTGACAGTCTTCCAAATTATCTTTGTTGATCCATCCTCTTTTTGACCGTCTTCCAACAGAAAAAATTAGAAACCTGAAATAAACTTGAAAATCTGACAGTCTTCTGGAAGACCCAGAAGACGCCCTAAATCCACCCCTGTTTGAAGTATACCATCAGTCACAATGCAACCAGAAATAAAAGACTTACTAGACAGCCAAGACCAACAAAATTATTTAATCAATGTATTTTAAACTTTCCCATTTATTTTTTAAAAACTAAACATTCCTCAGCTTTTTTTAAAAAAAAACTCTGCAGCTGCTGTACATGTGCCGCATGGATGAATAATTCGTATTATTCCTCCAAGTGTGCTGGCATGGGAAAATATGTTAACACTCGTGGTAACCCATCAGTGTAGAGTTTGTACAGTTTTGGAAATTTAATACCTAAAAGATACATACGGAGTGCAAACTGGCAGGACATAAGACTGGTTGAAGACAACTCCCTTCTCTGCCAGATAATTCATGTGTGGTGTCTGCATACTTGGGTTGTTCCAGCCTACATCATTCCAACCTAATGAAAATAAATTTATACAAATGTAAGTAGTTTTGGAATTAATCGACTTCAAAAGGCACAAAGAGTAATGATTTTTCAAATAAAAAAGAAAATAACTTTAGAACAACATTAAAAATAGTTTTGTTTATTATGGACAATTATTGTGCTTAAGACTTTCTATATGTGCAATTTTCACTCTCTTTCTCTCATGTGAAGAGGGTTAAAAAGCTTTTGATATAAAGTGCAGCCCTCAAACATAAAAAATCTTTGTAGAAAATTACTTAAATATCTGGAACAAATTCACTGCAATGTGTTAGGTTTTATTTGATCTCTGTTCCTCTCCACAAGTAAATTGACAGCAGGAATAAAGCATTAGAGGTTAGCCCTTGAACTGAAAAACTTCCAGCTGGTAACAAATTTTGTGTCCGGTAGTGTGATTTATGTCTGTAAATAAGAACACCACAAAGAAAATGACCTGAAATGGGGTGAACAGTTGTATTGGGTGTCCTCGCTCCACAATACGGTGATTGGAGAAGTTAGGGTGGGGAACTGTCAACTTCATTACACACAGTCAGTTCTCGTAGAGAAAATGCTTTGTCTGATATAAACGGCATAATAATAAGTCCATGAAGAAAAGAAGAAGTCGCCAAGTAATCTTCGTGCACGCTGCTATTATTACAGATGGTCGTAAGCTCTTAAAACAGTTATAACCACTACAAATTTGTAGGTTCAAACCAGTCCAGACCGGATTTGAACACCAAGACCTCTCGGCCCATTACCCCAATAAGATGAAGGCAGACAAAATAACAATAAAGTGATAGTGACTCAAATGATAAATGTGCACTTAGAAATTGGTCTGGCCCGTGGGAAAAATGATTAACATTCACTTACTGCAATATACAGATATACATACAATGTAACATGCCAGAATCGAGAGAATATAAAAATCTTGATTTTGTTTTCATTTAACAACCCGTGTGTCGTGTGTTTCATATTTGTTGCACGCATTAGCAATTAGTGCTTGAACTAAAAGTGATTGTTACTCGATTGCCATTAAACTATTACTTACCTAAGTCGTCTGCAACTATAAAAATGATGTTCGGTTTTTTTGAACGGGCAGCTGAAGTTGATCCCGCGATTAAAATCGTAACACAAGTGAGTAACTTGAGGAAAGACATCCTCATTGCTGCCTAGTTTACCTCACGAGTCGATCTCTTTGACTGCAGTTAGCGCTTTACGTGGGACATGTCATGACGGACTTGAAACGTCACGTGCTAATTTACATATTTCATTCATCTACAACCACCACGCTGGGTGGGGGAGAGACTGAAGACTAGATTTGTCAGTTATAAGTGCTAAATAGTTTATTGTCCAATGCTTGCGTTGAATATGCTTGTGGATTTCCTCCAGATACAAGTATTTTTTCTATCAGTTTTGTGTATGTATAACTTTTCCCTCCCGCAGCGCTAATACTCTGAATCCTTCCTGGGAATCCGATATCTTACAGCACACAAAATAATAGCCGAACAGTTTTCAGGATGTTATGCATAAACACGCTAATGCCACAGGCTAAAACTAATATTACGAACTAATCAGGGACATATGGACAAAATATCGCGAAAATTTGACACCGCGTGGCTTTTACAGTATAGCTCGTTGCGTCGACTATTACAAATTTGTGTGAAATAATCTGTTTAACCTCAGGTTCGTGCCCTACCAGGGTCGTAAACAATTTTTTTCACTGGATACGACTATTCACACACATTTCTCTGGATATTCTCTAGCTCTGCAAATTTCTGTAAAGTTACCTCGCTTCATATTACGGTAAACCTCCCAGCACTAGTGCCTCTATGATACAACGATGACGGCAAAAATAGCCCTCCTGCAGTAAATTAGTGAAAAATACCCGCAGTACAGTAATAGAATTTGATGGATTTTATTTTATCAAAACGTAGCTACGTACACTGTATGTTGACACTTTAAAATGTTTTCACAAAAATTTTCCACTCGCTGTCAGCTGTTAAATGGCCGTGTAGATCCTTTACGGTGCTCTAAGACCAGCTACTACTGTATTTAGTCGATTATTTGACCTTGAATTGGGTTTTATAAAGCCAAAAAGAAACTAATTAAATCCGAAAGCATCGTAAATGTTTTGTTTAATTTCGAATTCGTTGCCGATAAACGATTGTTCACGACCGACAGACGCC